GGACGCGACCTCAGGGCACGAGTTGCTAAGTTTTCTAATCGCGTACTCGGGTTATAATCAGATCAAGATGGACCCTACTGATGAAGAAAAAACGGCCTTCATTACCAAACTAGGCCTTTACTGTTACAAGGTCATGCCTTTTGACTGAAGAACACCGGGGAAACCTACCAAAGACTTGTGAACCGAATTTTTGAGCCGTTGATCGGCGACAAGGTTGAATGCTATGTAGACAATATGGTTGTCAAAACCAGATTTTCAAATTGCTTGACAAGTGACTTGCAATGTGTTTTTGAAATTTTACATAAATACAATATGAAATTAAATCCTAACAAATGTGTCTTCAATGTCACCTCGGGCAAATTCCTAGGTTACATAGTTAACCGACGTGGTATTGAAGCCAACCCTGAAAAAATAAAATCCATCCTGGATATGGAGGCACCTCGCAAGTTGAAAGAGGTTCAGAGGCTAAATGGCCGCATAGCTGCACTAAGCCGCTTCATATCCAAGTCAGCAGATTGCTGCCTACCCTTCTTCAAGGCAATTAAGAAAAGTAGAGACTTTGAATGGATCGAAGAATGCCAGCTCGCCTTCGACGAGCTGAAAAAATACTTAGCTAGTATCCTGGTTCTAACCCGACTTGAGGAGGGAGAGGTTTTGAAGTTGTACCTCTCCGCAAGTGATGAAGTAGTCAGCTCGGTACTAATAAAGGAGGTAGATTGGGTTCAATGACCCATCTACTACATCAGTAAGGTTTTGTAGGGCATAGAAACAAGATACCCAGAGATCAAGAAACTGGCGTACGCATTGGTCATCGCATCTCTGAAACTTCGACCATACTTCCAAGCCCATTCCATAGTCGTCCTCACCAACAAACCTTTGAGGCAAGTCTTACTTAAACCCGAGGTCTCTGGCAGACTGACGAAATGGGCCATCAAACTCAGTAAGTACAACATCCAGTACGAGCCTCGAACGGCGATTAAGGCCCAAGCCTTAGCTGACTTTGTTGCAAAATGCACCTTCAGCACCGCAGTCCCTGAATTAATCGAGCCCAAACATAGAGAAGAAGTTTCAACCAGTGCGGCACCAATCCCAGTTAGAGCAAGGCCAATTTGGGACGAGGAGCCCTGGATCCTCCAAGTAGATGGCTCATCAAATCAGCAAGGAAGTGCGATTGGAGTTATTTTGTACAGACCAAGCATGGTAAAGCTAGAGTACGCACTTCGGTTCGAATTCGCGGTATCCAATAATGAAGCAGAGCACGAAGCACTAATAACTGGGCTCGCTCTAGCAAACGAGGTACAAGAAAAACACGTTGTTATCTGCCACGACTCTTAGCTCGTGGTTAACCAGGTCACTGGAGACTATGAAGCTCGCGACCCCACCATAGATGCTTATCTCGCCAAAGTCAGGAAAGTTCTATGTGGCTTCTAGTCATACTTCATCAAGCAGATTTTGAGGTCCGAGAATACTGAGGCCGATGTCTTATCCCGATTAGCAAGCGCCAATACCATGTATATAGAGAACCTACCTCGGCCCATCATTCTCGGGGGGGGCAGAAGAAGTCGCTCCTGTTGCACAAATAGAGTCAAGTTGGATTGACCCACTCGCAAGCTACCTACTTCACGGGATCCTCCTTGCAGATCGCAACGTAGCCAGAAGGGTAGAGCGACAGGCAGCCAAGTACATCATTATAGACAGACGGCTGTACCGAAGGTCCTACATGCTCCCCTACTTGCGGTACTTGCAACCCTTAGAGGCTGAGCTCGTTCTCCATGACACTCATGAAGGACTGTATGGCGCACACTTGGGGTAGGGCTCTCACTCAGAAAGCACTACGACTGTGGTACTACTGACCCACAATGAAGGTGGATGCACTTGAGCTCGTCAAGAGGTGGGATAAATGTCAAAAGCACACCAGCATCCACCACAAGCCTGCTGCTGACCTGAAGTACCTCACTAGCCCAAGGCCCTTCGCACAGTGGGGAATCGACATCCTTGGACCATTCCTACCAGCAATAGGACAAAGGAAATTCCTGGTGGTAGCAGTGAATTACTTCACAAAGTGGGTGGAGGCAGAACCCCTGGCAACAGTCACAGCCCGAAGTGTACAAAACTTCTTTTGGAGGAAAATAATATGCCGCTTTGGACTACCTCGGGTGCTCATCTCTGACAACAGTAAGCAGTTCGAAGATATCAAGTTTCAGAACAAGTGTAACAAGATGGGGATACAGTAGAATTTCACTTCAGTAGCACACCCTCAAGCAAATGGGCAGGCGAAAGTCACAAACAGGGTTATACTCCGTGGACTGAAAGCCTGCTTAGCCTGAGCTAAGAGACTATGGGCAGATGAGCTGCCCAGTGTACTATGGGCCTATCGAACTATTGTGAAGACCGCCACGAGTGAAACCCCCTTCTGACTTCACTTATGGCACGGAGGTAGTAATCCTAGCTGAGATCGAGGTGTTGACGTTATGCCTAGAAGCGTATGACGAAGAGGTAAATGATGACAAGCTACATACCAACCTCAACCTAGTAGAAGAAGTATGGGACCTCACATACATCCGGACCGCAACCTACTAGCAAAGAGTGGCTTGGTACTATAATGCCCAGGTCAAGAAGCAGAACTTCTGCATCGGAGACCTGGTTCTTCACAAAGTTATGGTGCCTGAACCCAGCTTCCCGGTGAAGCCTCTTCAAGGCCTTCCTCTTCTTCCCTTTCTAGGAACTCTTTAAAAGGCTCTCAGCATCGACTTCAGGCATGGTAACAACAAGAACAAAAGAGTTAGTCACGAACTAAAAGGAATCTTAAACAAAAATCAAGGAGAAACCTACTAGGAGGGCTCAAACCAGCTCGCAACAGCTTCTCCTTGGCTAAGAAGTCTTTCATCTCGAGGTCAAGGTCCCTCCACGAGTTGATTACTGCCCTAGTCTCTATGTCCAAGCTCACCCCGGGGTCCTTAATAGCTACCCTCAAGTGGGCTGGAAAAGACCACCCTTCCGGATTCCGGATGATGAAGTATCTCCTTTTTCAGGCTAGAACCTTGTTTGGGCAGCCGAATAGGATTTTGAATCCAGGCCGGGGTGAGATATAGTAGCTTTGTCTAACGTCCCTGCGTAGATAGGCAGAGTTTCGCTTGATCACATAGATCAAGCTGAAGGTATCTAGGGATAGGGGTCAGTTGTATGCATGGAACAAGGAAATGGTGCCAACTATATTCCGAATAGAGTTTGGGTGTAGTTGGTCAATGGTAATGTTAAAAAACTTGACTACCTCTATCAGGAAGGGGTGAAACGGGAAGTGCAGCCCTGCCGTGAGCTGCTCCTCGGAAATATGAGCTCATGGTGATCATGAGCCCAAGGGTATTGACCTAAAGGAAGACTAAAGACTAAGTTATCAGGGAGATGATAGCAGGACACTAAGTACACTAACCTATCTAAGGTCAAAGTGGAAGGACCGAAGTCATCTAGATCCCAACCTTGGAAAGAAGAAGGGGGCCCTGACCTGGAGGGCAGACCCTCTTCCCGAGCCGAGATGGCTTGACTTCGGGATTAGAGGTTCCCTCTAAAGACTAGAGAGAGGAGGCACCCTGCCATGAGCTGACCTCCCCAACATGGATAATAACACCCTCCACCTCGCTAGAACTACCTAAGAGTCTATCTACACTAGAACTAGACATGATTGAAAAAGTAGAAAAGAACAGGAAGACACAGACTCACCGAAGAGAAGAATGACTTTGGAAAACATAAAGAAGACCGAGTCGGAAGACTCCGATGCGACATCGGGAGATCTCAATCACAGAAATTACGGCGGGAAGAATGAGTCATGGGTCCCCCTATTTATAGCCGCTATGTCCAAGAACTGACGGTCGAGATCAAAGCAATCCAACGACCCCAAAGGAAACTGGCTGCGTGATTCCCGACGATAAAATCAGTTTAGTGCGTTTTTTGACATCCGTGGAATTTACAGATCATGTGATTCATCTGGCCAGCTACCTGGGTTTTCCTGGTGGAGCCGGGTGGCCAAACAAATCCGACCCGTGATTCATCTGGCCAGCTACCTGGACTTCGAACCAAATATACTTGGCTCGTCATGAACTCCCCGCATTGGGTCAGGACCCCTAGCTCGGGGAGTGGGGGGCAATTGATGTATGGTGATTTGGTCTGACCTAGTAATAGGGGGACACGTGGACACGACCCAACTGAGCGGGCTTACAGCTCACTCATCGCGCCAGATCTGCAAGGGATCAATCTCGGATAACTGAACCACCTCGGAGAAAGCCCACGTCAGGACGAGTCCACCTCAGGACCAGATTACCTCGGTGCAAGGGCACCTCGGTACTGAAACACTTTGGCATTCACATTAGGTCGGGTCTGAAGAGCACAAGCTCGGGTGATGACCACCATGTGATTACTCCAAGGACCTCACCGTTGTATCCCGCATCTTACGGGATCATGCTCTGTAACGGCTAGTTTTATCTCACCCACCCCCCGGTTCAGATGGGAATGGGGAATTTCACCAGTTGGAGACATTACCCCCAACTAACACTGCAACGGATCCTGTCACAGCGAGAATCTAGGAACTACTCCACCAAACCCATGCCAACTCCAGTATATAAAGACCTCAACCCCCTAGGGGCCAAGATATGCGTAATCTCTGCTCTTCAACATTCTTACTCTCTTAAAGTTCTCATCAGCTTGCAACCAAGTATTAACTTAAGCATCGGAGCGACCTCATCGGGTGAGCCACCCCGAGTTCTCTGATTCTCCTTGTGCAGATCCATCAAGCCCGTCGTCAGTTGGGGGCCAAGTCACCTCCAGCTAGGTTCAGTCAGATTGCACTACATCAAAATTCTAAACTACATTTTAAATTCAGAAGTAAACTGATGCAGCCCAGTGATGGAATTCAATTTGACACTAAAAGGAAATAGGCTACACAGTTTTTTTATTTTGTAACTTAATAACAAGTTTTTGTTTTTATTTTAGGAAAGAAGAAATAGAGTACACAATGAAGAAGATATTTCTGCGTTTCTATTTAATTTTTTAATTCATACAATGTGTGAGACCTTTTGCTTTTGGAACTCAGAGAAACAAGCAGCAAGTAATGTTTGACACCCCCATACTACAGGTATTATTCTCTAATTAGGCTGATGGTCAGATACAACACTTAAAATTTAAAATTCTAAGGAGTAGGAAACTTTAAGCAAAACAAGATATTCATGATACATGTTTCGATAACATGGAAGCCAATTATCACCTTCCATCTCCAATGATATTATGGAGTATTGGTTGAGAAACATTGTTTGGGGAAGTGTCTGCGTTCACCATGGTAGTATCTGATGATGTCTTGAATTGGCTGTCAATTGACTTCCCCAAAGAATTCTCACTCAAAAAGCTACTGGTGATATCATTAAATTGCCAATCTGTTAAATAACTGGGTTTGGATGTGATGGTGCTCACTTCAATATCTCCTGAAAGCATGGCCACAACGCGTGACATGGAGGGGCGCAGTGCTGGTGAAGTCTGAGTGCATAACAGGGCTATTCCTATAAGTCGAAGAACTTCTCCTTCATCAAATTCACTTAATTTTGGATCAACAAATTCAAGCTCGTGGCTATTTTCATGTAGATTCCATACCTAAATGATCAAACAAAAATTGCAAACATTGGTAATGGATTATGTATGTTTAAGTGATGCAAACTTGAAAACTATAAATTTCATATTCCATTCATTCTTACCCATTCAAGAAGATAAATCTTCTCTGGAGCCAAGCTGGAGTCAGAATTTGGCCGCCCACTAATGATCTCTAGAGCGACAATTCCAAACCCAAACACATCAGCCTTCTCGGTTAGATGTCCACGCATAGCATACTCTGGTGCGAGATAGCCACTTCACAGACATTAACCGAAACTGAGGTTACTTAGTTATATAGATTTAGTATCATAAGTATAAATGGAAGGTAATTCAAGCTAGAAAATGATGCAAGTAAATGTTTTCATATGATGATTACATTGTTCCTGCAACTCTGGTGCTAATGTGGGTCTTCTTGTCATCATACAGCTTGGCCAAACCAAAATCTGAAATTTTGGGATTTAACTCAGCATCAAGTAGAATATTACTAGCCTTGACATCTCTGTGTACAATCCTAGGTCTTGACTCTTCATG